AGCAGCAGCTAAGACTGTCCCATTATAGCCACTGGGGGCTTAGGCAGTGAGAGTGGGAGGCAGTCTTCAGAAGGTCTGAATTAAAGTGCCTTTTAGCAGGAATAGCCGTCTAGATCCTCCTATCCAATCAAGTCAGTGTAGCTTCCTTTCCTCTACTCTCTCTTAGGCTGTGCGATAAGGTAGAGGAAAAGCTACCCAAAGGCTTGTTGGCACCCATTTCCCAAGCTAATCCTCATGCAGGGCAGATGTCATTGAAATAGTGTCAACTCACCCATTGCTGGGACTGGGCCCCGTAGTGATTACAGCCTCCCATGTGGTCCTCCATGACCCATCTCCCAGGACTGGGTTCTGTCATTGGTTCTTGATCCCATCTTGCTCTGTCTCATCTTGCTCTCAGGGTCCAGCATCTATCCTCTTCAGTGATGGTGCTCTGCTTTCCTGGGTACAGATGTGTCTGAGGGGATACCACGCCTGCCTGACTCTAGATGGTCACTAGCTTGGGGTTCCCCACTGCTGTGCTCTGTACCTCTGATGAGAATCTTACTGTAACTTCTCAAAAGCCCAGTGTTGTCAACTATTACCTGAGCCTTCGTGGTGGATCATCTGGTATTTCCAAGTCCCTGTGGACCTGGTCTCCCAGACCCTGCCTGTAACTATTGCTTGAATCTTGTCCCTTCTTCTTCTTTGTCTCCTCCCTGCTTACCTGCTCAGGAGGCACCCAGGTCCTCAGATATGAATACCCAGGGCTGAGGACTGTTGTGTGCGTACGAAACGATATGACTGTTCCTGCCCTCCTGGAGTTTTAATCTAGTTGAAAAGGCAGGACCCAGACAGGTACAGCATAAAGTGGGTTTTAAAGTGAAAAAATAGGTATAGGTTTTAAAAAGCAACAGAAAGAACACAGTAAAGTGCACACTTAGTTGCCAAATACGTTTTATAGACAATTGCTATAGGGACTTGGAGAGGATGATCAGGAAAGCTTGAATTTGAACTTCTGATCTGGGAAAAGAATCGTGGATAAATTTTTATGGGCAGAAAGGAGAGAGGGGGGAAGGAAATGTTATGGGCTGAATTACGTCCCCCCAAATTTCATACGTTCATAACTCCTAGTACCTCAGAATGTGACTGGATTTGGAGATAAGGTCTTTAAAGAGGTGATTACGATTAAATGAGGTCATTGGCCTGGGCCCTATGTGACTGGTGTCCTTTTAAGAAGAGGAGATCAGGACACAGACACACAGAAGGAAGGTAATGTGCGGACACAGGGAGAAGGTGGCCTCTGAAAGCAAGGAGAGAGGCCTCAGAAGGCCCTGCTGACACTTGGACTTGGACTTCCAGCCTCAAGAATTGTGACAGAATAAATTTCTGTTGTTCAAGCCACCCAGTCTGCGGTATTTTGTTATGACAGCCCTAGCACACTAATGCGGGGGATTACAAATGCATGGAGCTGCGTCAGCTAAAGCAGGAGCACGTCGGGTAGGAGGGAAGCCTTTGCTTGGAGTGGAAAGGCTCCTGGCACGAGGACATGAGGAGAGAATCGAGGGAGTCCATGAGCAAGTTCCAGGAGCAGACGGGCTGGTGGGATAAGGCCAGGGAGCAGGAGCACCAGAAGAGAAGGACCCCCGTTCACCCAGTCGAGCTCAGCTTAGGGTATGCCGCTAAGGGAGTAATCACCGCTTAGTGCGAACAGGGACCCAAGTCTACTTTACGGGATCAATCAAGGCCTTGAAAGCTCTAAGGGAAAGGGAAAGGGAAAGAAACAACAAAGGCAAGAGATGAAAGACGGAGAAGAAGAGAAAGAGAAGGTGGCTTTGCAGGGCTCGGAAAAACTTCTGAACAGTCAGAGGGAGAGATGGAAACTGGTAAAAGAGAGGAGCACATCTGGGGTGGGGTAGAAATGCCACAGAAAACCCTCCTGCCTAGCAGCTCTGTCTCCAATGTGGTGCCTGTCGTGTTTGCACCCTTCATTCAGAATAATAGCATAAGAACAGAAAGACAGCAATATGGGCATAGGGTAAAAGTCCCTGGGGACGGGGCCTGGAGTGTGCCCTCACCCCCTGGGCGCCTCCTGCCCTGGGTGCACTGGAGGCCACCGGGGCTGAGCTTGTAGCACCAGGCCTGACCGGGGGAGGGGACAGAGCAGCTGAGGGGAGCCCCATCTTGTCACGTAGGGCTGTGCACGGAGCATTGTCTCCCATGGGAACTGGCACCTCTGGAGCGAGGACACCTACCCCCATATTGTGCACTGCTTGTAAGTTTGGCAAGAAGTGGAGGGTGGAATTATGGAGAGAGGAAGGGATGAGGAAAGGAGAAAGGGAAAGGGTCAAGACAGAGAGGGGACAAGAGAAGAAGGGAAGCTGCCACACAGCTGCCCCAAGCCTTCCCTTCTGTGCCCAAGATGGGCAGTGGTGTTATTATTGATGAGCCTCCATATTTCCAGGTCATTCCATATCAGTTCTGCACCCACTACCATTCCACGTCCTTCCCCCAAGCCCTACTGTAGAGTCTCATCTCTCAACGCTGTGGACAGCCTGCCCTAGGCCACACACCTTGTTTCCAACCAGGAACGTCTTCCTCCCCCTCACTGCCCATGTGGACTGGAGAGAGGACGGCGAAAGAAGTCCCTCCAACAAAGTGTGAGCTCAGGGAAATACGGCTTCGTCATCCCAGGGGAGGGCTAATTACGTTTCCCCATGGTAACGCCATTTCGAGTCTAGTTAGACTATTTCAGACTTAAACAAAAAGGAAAAATAAGAAAAGAAGGAAAAGGATGAGGAGGAAGAGGGGGAGAAGAAATCCTGCTAGAAACTAGTATTTGTCTTTTGGAAGATGTCTCTCCCACCCACAACCGCTTTCTGTACCCCACTTCTGTACCCCAGTTCCAGCGCCCTGATGCAGGGCGCTGTGGTTGGAGGCTTGCCCAAGGAGCCAAATGTGGCCCCAGAGCCTCTGCGGACCTCCACTTCAGCAGGCTCCGGGGGTCTGGGAGGGATTTCACACCAGCCTTGGTCAAATGGCACCCACTGGTTGTTGCTACTCACAGAGTCAGCCAGAGTATGCTGGGGGATTTTGCTACCGAGATGAAAAGCTGAAAGACCCCCATGGGCTCCCCTGAGCTTCTGCTGACCTGCTGGTTCTACAGCATCCAACAGTGGGTGCTTTCCTCTTAGCCTGATGCCCATGTAGAGAATCACAATGATATATACTAAAGTCTATCTTTTGGGTGGGCAGGTTATATGGAGCAGGCACCCACCACTGAATATGAGCTTGTCACTTTGTGTAACAACGCATGCAGGTGGGAACATTAACATTGCCAACTGGAGATGTGTCACTGGCATATTAAAAAAAGATGCTTGTATGCTGAACACCAAATCCACTGCTTAGTATCATTTGCACTGCACTGTAAGCTCGCGATGGCACAGATCAAGGATGGCAATTTATGGCCCATGGAATAAATCCAGCCCACGGCCTGTTTTTTGGTATGGCCTGTGAACTAAGAATGGTTTCTACATTTTTAGAGGGTTGTCCAAGAAAAAAAAAATCAAAGAAGAATATGTGACAGAGACCATATGGCCCAGACTGCAAAAAATATTTACTATCTAGACATTTACAGAAAAAGTTTGCCAAACCCTGGTGTACATTAAATAGATTTTTATTTTTTCGTTCATCTGGGAACATCCCCCCGCCCCCCCCCCCATTTATAACAATGCCTCTTGGGGAAATGCATCCTTGACTTGCAACAGATGAGCTTAGAACACAGCCAGCTCATAAGCTAGGGACTGTCTGTGCCTCTCTGTACTTTTTGTGCCAAATACAGCGCCTGGTGCAGGAAAGGAAGTGAGCAGCTTGCTGATGGTGATGATCAGGGTGTATACAACTCTCAGGCTCACCGGAAAAGGAACGTTCCCAAAACTCCCTTTGAGACCTTTGCATTCCTGAGGTCCTTAAGGTGTCAATCACTGCTGGCTTTGCCTTTCATGCTTCACCCTGTTGAGCAAGCCAAGAGCCCCCTGCCCTGCTTATTCCCTTAGCTCTGCTGCTGCCTATCTAGGGAGAAAGAGCAGAATTACGTCTGCTTGTCTTTTAGCCAATGAGAGAAGCATAGACAAATATGCACTCAGCCCCTGGAATAATCTTGCACTGCCCAGCTACTGGAGAGAGATAACAGGAGAGAAGGTGCAAATAGAGCTGAAAATACAGATCAGTGACAAATGAGTGAAATATGAAAGTTAGGGTGTCAGGAAACACAGCGAACCCAGGGGATACTGAAGCCATCCTGGAAAAAGGAGTCAGAGGCTGGATTTGGGGCTAGTCAAAGAAATCCTTAAACTTCTCCCTAGCCCCCCTCACTTCTTCATATGCTAAGTATAGATAATATTCTCTTCCTTCTTTTTATACCTCACAGGAATGACTTGAGATGGGCAAAACTGACAAGTATAAAGTGTTAAATAAATAGAAGAAAATATTAAACTCATGTTGGGACTTTTGTCTTAGCTTCTTTTCTACTGCATCTGAATGTACCCACTGTACTCAGGCTTTTTAATTGACCAGCAACTTCGTTATTCTTTTCTCCAAGTACAGTATAAATTTGCTCTTAGATTTTTTTTTACCTAATCAAGTCTGTATTTCTCATAGTTTAGCAATAATCATTTCCAGCTTATAACGTGGCCCCATTGACTATGATATGGAGGGAAAGTAATGTAATAACTTCTGAGCCATAAGAAAAGACAATTATTTTGTCTTTGGAAATGAATAAGCAACCAGCTTTAGGGCAGTTCCTTGCTTATCAGTTGCAGCAAAGTATTACTAAACCATCCATCCTGCTTTGAGTAATGTCCGTGGTAAGTCTTCCCCCTCCTTCTCAACACGCCCCCCTCCCCACCATCATAACCTTCTCTTTAGGTGGGAGACTCAGTAATCCATGTTGCAGTAGCAAAGAAGAAATGATATTTTCCTGCATAGAGCAGATAAGGTCCATCCTCAGCGCCCATGATGTTTGGGTCGTGGGGAGCATGAATGAGTTAACGCTGATGGGAGCATCGGCCAGAGGCCGGGTGTCCACTGCTGAAATCCTAACTTGCTTTTGCCAGCCGAGCCCCACAACAGTCATCTCCACTCACTCATCTTGCAGGGACTTTGGAGGGCCCGGAGGCCATTGCTGCCGTTGCTTTTTGAAGATGGTGGACCCCACAGCAGTCTAGGCTCAGCCCTGCTCCACGGCACAGTTTGTAGACAAGGGGCAGGCACCAACAGTGTTCCAACCGGGCTTGACCGGCGCTGTGTGCAGGTGGTTTTCGTGGTTAAAAGTCCTAGTAGTGTAAAAAGAAATCAGAGTAACAAGTGAGCATACCTCTGATGCCTCCATATTCGCCACCTCTGTCTTCTTCTTGGTCACCCTGTTTTTGCTTGCAGAGTTTACCTTCCATGCGCTTGGCCTCCCTTCTCCCTTTGCTGATGAGCAGAGCTCTTTCCTTAATTAAGTCAATGAGTACTCATATGCAGAGGCAGCACCTCTTGTGGCAGGAGGACCTGAGCAGAACCAGCCCAGAAGCAAGTGAGAATGTTTGTCAAGCTGTGATTAAGCAGCTGTGATTAAAGCGTGAATAATTACCTGCCAAAGCCAATAGTTCCTCAAAAGTTCTCACTCCCAGGCCATAACCATGAAACCTACTGGGCCAGAAGGTTTGCGTGATGGTTCACTTTGAGGGGGTGGAGGGAGCTGAGATGCTGAGGACATAAAGCTTTCAGTTGTGGAAAGAAATCCAGGAACAAGTGATGCCAGCTAACGAGTAGCCCTGCCAACTGATTCTTCATTTTCAAAGATTGCCTAGGCCTCTGGCTACCTGTAGATCAGCCTTCTGAACCATTTCCCCACCATGACAGATATGAAATCCACATGTTTGACACATTCTCTGAGCTCTTTGTAATTCCTAGTGAAATACCTACAATTCCTTCTCTCTCTCTCTCTACAACTCAAAAAAAAAAAAAAAAAGATGTTGGAATACAGGTGAGTGAGAGTGATGTCTTATTTAATTTTTTTTAAAAAGGGATATACTGGGCCGGCCCCGTGGCTTAGTGGTTAAGTGCGTGCGCTCCGATGCAGGCGGCCCGGGTTCGGATCCCGGGCGCGCACAGACGCACTGCTTCTCCGGCCATGCTGAGGCCGCGTCCCACATACAGCAACTAGAAGAATGTGCAACTATGACATACAACTATCGCCTGGGGCTTTAGGGGAAAAATAAATAAATAAAAAATTAAAAAAAAAAAAAAAAGGGATATACTTCCTGAAAGCGTGCCAATCATCTGTGGTTGGTAGTCAATAACTTCAACACACTACACCAAGTGTTTCGTGTCCACACTGTGTTTTGCTGTTCTAGGCCAATGCAGCCTCTTCTGCATTTTCTTATATGTCCATCTTCTCCCAATTTGATATAATTTGTCTTTGTTGCAAGGCCTGAATAACACTCCAGGCCATTATCCCCTAAAAGAGTGGTACATTCTGATGGTTAGAATCGTAGGCACCAAACCCTTCCAATTATGACCTGCTCTTGGGTTTAGCTGGGATGGAGATTTGGCAGCATATTTACTGAGGTTAATTGGAAGGCAAATCCCAAAGGAACAAAACATTAAAAAATTTGAGTATGATTTAGTATCCTCAGCATACCCAATCTCAACTGGGAGACTTTTACCCCAACAATTTATGAGGAAAACAGACTTTAGTGTTAGGGAGTCCCAGGATTGAATCCTGGTTCCTCCTTGGCTTCGGGCAAGTCCTTAACCACTCCTAACTATCAGATTTTTATCTCTATAATAGGAATGTGGAATTGCTGTGAGGTTTAGAAACAACGGGAGAAAAACGCCCTGCTGATGCCTGGCACACAGTAGCAACAAACAAAAAAATCTTAAGAAAATATTTATTTACCCAAATATCACTATCTACCACAGATGGACCAGTCTAAGAGGTGGTGAGAGAGTTAGCAGCCTTAATACTTTGGAGAGTGGTAGCATACAATAAGTGATTACAGGCAGAAGCGGTCTTCAAAGAGACATGAGAGAAGCAAAAGGAAGAAAACTATGAGAAGTAAAATGCTTTTCTGAAGTCCTTGCAATAGTTTGGGGAAATTTTTGAATAAAGAGATTCAAGGTCTCTCAATGCACACAATTTGAGTTGCAGGAGAAACTCAAATTTCGCTTATCCTATAATGTCAAATTGATTTTTTGTGATATTTAGACAATCCCAAAGCAACTGCTTTTTACAACACATTAGAGAAGACATTTTGACCACTGTTACTCTGGGTAAATTCTTCAAACTCCAAATAGAAGCAGTAAACATGTGAGTATAAATATGACAATCATTTGTTTAACTGTGACAATTTTAGATAGTTTTTGGCATGCTCAAAGGTACAGAGATTTTTGTGGATGAGTAAAAAATAACTCGGATAATGTTTATCCCACTTTGACTAAGTCTTGGGTGACATTGTCAATTTCTTGTAAAATTGGCATGTTTATACGTAATATGTTATGGGAAAGGAAAAAAAATGTTAAAGTTTGCCTCCCTGGAGGGAGTGGGGTTGGAGAATAGCATAGCAGACAATTATTTATGGATAGTTTTACATGAATACAATTGTCATGGTTTTTATATGATAACCAAAAGATTTTTGATTAGAAGTAGTAGTAATGTGAGCTTTCTGGTGATCTTAAGCTTTCTAATACCTAAAATTTAAATTTGTCTGTAAAGGTGTTAAAAGATCATCTTAAACACGGAGCCATATTTTGCTGATGAAAAACTATTGCCATTCGTTTCAGGGGGATGCTTTTCCTCTAAGGGGGAGCCTGGCAAAAGTGGTTTTTTAAATTCAGATTCTGAAAGAAGCTTTTCTCAACAATAAAACTTATCTTTCCTATGAAGGCCACGAGAGGTGAGGTTTGCATATTCAAGTCCTTCCCTGATGCCTACATCCATAAGAGAACATCCACATCTGGTAGAGCTGTTATGGGACAGGCAGGCAGACCAGAAGAGTCTGAAAATCCAGCCAACATCTATGCCAGAATCCAAGTTATGAGCACCAGGCAGGGTGTCTATCTGGTCAACAAAGAAGACACCTCCAGAGAAGGCTGAGAAAGCAGTAATATTCTATGTCCAAATGCAATCAACAACCAAGCTCAAATGCAAATGCAAATGTACCCTCCATGGCAGTGTGGAAAGATATTAGCCTTTTAGAAAGATTCGAGGAAATTATCATTTTGCTGCAAGGGAAGAAGGATAAGATGATGGGGCCACAACCTTTGCCATAAAGGTTAAATAATGGCTATAATCTGCTTTGAAATTCTTAGAGGAAGTTATCCTAACAGGGGAAAGAGGCCACAGAAATGGTCAGGAGTTTTAGACCAGTGACTCTAGTCAAAAATTATTCCAAAACCATAAATCTTATTCTACATTCTTATTGTGGATCGTGAAAAATATTTTAATATTTACATATAGTTACCATCTTCCTCTTTAGTAATATACTGAGTTATTAAGGCTTACCAAAATTTGGTATACATAAGGGAAAAAATAGCATGTTTCCCAAGTTCCTATAAAAGTGGGAATAGAGGAAGTGAATAGGCTACTGGATTTTTCACCAAAATAAATGAGCTTCTGTCAAAAACTGTTTGCAAACTCCTGCTTTAGACGAGTTTTTGGTGACCAGTCTGTATTCTCCCAAGTTAAGCATGTGTATCTTTCAAAGTTCAGGAAGGATATACGTGGATCATGAGGCTCATTCCAGCATGCCACACCTGCATTCAGGACCTTGAATCTCATTCATTATGCGATAGTGAAGCAGCTGAGAAAAAACGGAAGTGAAGACGTGCCTTCAAAATACTATAGTCTCTGGATTTTCATAATGGAGTTCTGGAAAAGGTAAGTGATTTGTCAAGAAAGGCCTTTCTAGGCCATGGCAAAAAGGCTGTGGAGTAATTTTGCAGTCTCTATCTTGCATGAAATCAGCACCCATCCCACTGCAACCTCTTGATCTTTAAATGTTACACAAGAAGCCTTCCTCCATCTGATCTGGGAACTGTTTAATGGAATTTTGTCTGTAGTAGTTAACTTGAAAAGATGACCCTCATCTCTACTGTTTTCCATTAGTGAAAGCCATCTTTTCCCTGACTGGTTCTTTCAACACTCTCTGGACTCAAGCATAGAGGATGTGCCTCCATTAGTTCAGAGACATAACGAGTGCCCCTCACTCTCTTCCTCAGGGAATCAGGACCAGTGTCCAGTCAAATTGCAGCAAAAGGTAAATCCCACTTTACAGTTTCACCCAAGTTGAGAAACTGGATGCATCAGAAATGGTGGAGTTTAAAACTTGCTCTAAAAATAATGTGCCTGGATATCAGCCACCATCTCAAGGCTCTTCCTCTCCAGGCCCGCTCCCCGTAAATATCCAACGTAGCTGTCAGTAAGTTTAGCCTGAAAATAAAATCCCCTCACTCCATCAAGAAATAGCTCCAAACTTAGAGTGTATGCTCAAAATATTCATGATGAAATCATAATCCTATATTTATAGTCTTCTGGATTGTGTATGAAATTTTGTTTCCCATGGCGTTTTTCATTGAAAGGGCCAGACGTGGAAAGTGGGCTCAGAGGATGACTGAGAGAGCATTAGCCTCAAGGACATGCTGTTTATCGTCATGTTGAGCTGGATGGTTGCGTGATGTCCTCCCTCTTACCTGATCCCTACTCATTTCCCATGAGTCAGGTCTCCTCCGCCACCCCATTCCCAGATGGTCCCTCGTTTGATGGTCCTGTATTGTCATCCAGGAAGAGTGAACTGGCATCCTGATAAGGAAGTGGAGTGGGTACCTAAGATCATCCCCCCTCCCTTCTGACCTTTCCTGTCCTCTAGACTTCCTCCCCGTTTTCACTGAGCGAGATGGTGTGGATCTTAATGGTTGGAACTTGATGGTTCTCTCCAAGGCTGGGGGTTGAGGGCCCCAAGCAGCAGCAGACCTGCAAAAAGCTTTTACTTCTCACCCGGGCTGTGGTGCAGGCTGATTGGTCTTTGTGCACTGTAATCCTGGCAGATCCACGGGGCAGAGAAGAGAAAAATTTCCATTCACAGACCCCATCCGTCTTGGAGATCTTATAGAAGGTCTCTCCGGATCCCACTGGAATCCGCACCAGGTCCTTGTGCTGCCCCTCCAGGGCATGGCTGGGTGGGTGCAGGGCATAGCCCAGGGCATGTTTGGAAGACTGCTTTCTGCGGAGACACTGGATTCTCAAGACATTCTGAAAGGCCTTTTTAAACTCTTGACTGGAGCATGGGTATATAATGGGGTTGATGCAGCTGTTTAGATATCCGAGCCAAAAAGCTATTTTAAAAACTGTTTCTGAGGGCTTGAAATCAGGGAAGAAAGACCCTGGAAGAAAACACACAGATTCATACATATTATTTGCAAGCCAACAGGCCAATTGGCTAGGAAAACAAGCAAACAAACCAACAAACCTCATTTTATATCTTTAAAAAGTTCCAAATGATTCCAAACACATTTGAGTTTCCTATATTTGACTGACTAGCCCCTGCGAATATCCTTAAAGAACATTCTCACTTGGTCCACATGTACAACATCAATTATGGGAGCAGACCCAACAGGTAGGGTTGCACCTGTTCTCAGTGAAAAAATATCACTTGACATCTGCTATGAAGCTTTAAATAATGAAAACATGAAATTTAGGCTGAGTCATATGCAAATTGTTTTGCCTGAATTTAAAAATAAGTTGGAATCCATTCAAATAATCCATATTAAAATTGGGTCACCTGAATATTTCCTTTGTTCTCTGACACAGTGTTATACAGGCACAGCCTAAATAATTATGAATTCCTTTTCTCCTGAATATTAGAATTGCCTATTTTAATGAGAAGCCCAAATTAACAAAATATTGGCTTTGCCAACTTTTGGCCAGTGATTCTCGATTATTTTTCTTTGACGATGCCTTTTCAAGTTACAGTATACTCCCCTGCTGGGCATACTCCAGTGGCTGCCAAATGCTTGTCAAATGCTTGTCACTTACTGGACATTCAGGGTCCTCCACAGCACTCAACCTAATAGCTTTCCAATGTTAACACTTTTACTTTAGCCTGACTCACTACAAACTTGTCTCCAAGTCATTGCTCATTTTTTTTTGTCCTCTCCCATTGAGTCTCTATGTCTAAAATGCCCCTTCTCATTCTCTTTACCTACTCAAGTCCTATCCACTAATTTACACGGCAGGAATCAAGTTTCTCTCTTTTTTTTTTTTTTGT